AAACACCGTCACTATTAATACTTTCTGTTTTACGCATATATTCATCCATAAGCTTGCCCTTAACATATTCCAATGTCTGTTCATCATCTGCACATGCATCAAGTGCTGTGACAAGTGTTTCATAATCTACTGGTAAACCACTAAGTAATAATGCTAAGACATGAAAATCTTTTATTACTTCTCTTACACCTCTCAGGTGTTCAACTATTTCCAAGGTGTGCCTTATGTAATTCTGCATATCCTGGCCTTTCATGAGCTTGGTTTGTTATAGCTTTCAAATCAAATACAATATATTGCCAAAATTAGCTCTTTCATGCACCTTTATATAATCCTTCCCACATTTCTTTAGCAGTTTCATACTTACATATATGTATGATTTGATTATCTGTGCTATGAGCTTTGTGTTCTTTCTCTATCCACTGATGTGAAGCTGAAAAAAAAAGTGAGCAGCTGCAAAAACTGTAGCTGCTGACTTTTAAAATACAGTCACTTACCTGTCCCTTGGTCCAGCGGTGTCCTCACCGCTGGTTTCACCGGCGATCTTCTCTCCCTGGTGCCGGCATCTGTAGTGGGGGCATCTAGCTGTGACAGCTTACGGTTTCACAGCCGGGTGCCCACTGCGCATGTGCAAGAAGTGAATGAATGGCCCCGTAGTGTTCTGGGACCTGTCACGTATCCCAGAAGACTACGGGGAGGGAGGACAACTTCCGCTTCTGATTGTCTAGGTGATCACAGCGGAAGTGGGAGCGGGTACCTTTTGGGTGGAACTCAGCTTTAATTTATACATTTTTATGTACCTTTTCTTTCCAAGCCTGGTAGTTTGTAAGATTTTCAAATGAAAGGTTTGTTGCAATTGTGTTACTGGCCATTTTCTTTTATTCTGTTGCAGTCTTCCTTCTGTTGCTGTATCTTGCACATATTTGCTGTACTGGGCCCACAACCTGTTAGAAATTCGGAACAGACAGTGCACAGTCCACATGAGCTTTTCTGCTTCACTGCAACAAGGAAACAGGAAACTTTATGCAGAGAAAAGACACTGAGTATACCATAAATGCAGCTACAAACTTATAAACACTACCATCTGCTGGTTGAAGAATTTATCCCTACTGAGTACTGATGTAGTTGTTGCACAAAATACATGAACACTGTATTCCAACAGAAATAATCATTTTTATGCTCTGATCAAATCTACCAGATACTGATCATTTTTCCTACCGTTTATATCCAGTTTGATTTTTCAGGGGGATCAAATTGAAAATTAAACTTGAAAAGAATAGGAATAGTCTGGCGAAATCCATTCATTTTCAAGGTGATTGTGTGGTGTGTGAAGCAATTGATCAATGCTGAAGCTAGAGCCAACTGCTGTATTTGCAGGGCAAATGACAGACTGGAATTTTTAGCAATGGGGAGTGGCAGGAAAGGGAAGGGCATGCGTAGCATGTCAAGATAAAAAAAGTCCGTAATCAACCCCAGAAAAGTACAGTGTTACTATGGTGACTGTGAGCTACTCTGATGACATGGTGTAAACAACAAAAGTTACAAAAAAAAAGTTTTAATAATTTAATAGAAATGTATTTTTTTTTTTTACGTACTGTCACCAGTCAGTACTCCTGATCCCTGCCACACCAGTCATATGATTATGCTGTACTGCACTGGTGACAGTATGTAAATAAAAAATTGTAAAATAAATAAATAACTTTCCAAATCTTCCAAAAAATTGTGACAAAAAAATACAACTTAAAAAAACTCGCCATTCCTCTTATTAAATACCTCAGTCTACTTTCCTTAAAAGGGGTCATTTGTGTGGTAATTGTACTGTTATGGCATTTTAGGGCCTCAAGAATGAGATAGGCTGCCAATACATCAGGACTGATCAATTTTCAAATATATTTACCATACTTTGTAGACATTATAACTTTCACACAAACCAATTAATCTGAACTTATTGGAATTTAGCCCTAAATTTAAGAAGAATAGTGGAAACCTCTTACGTGCTACTATGTACCCAATAGCATAGAACGGGGGGGGCTGCTAACACCCAATCATATACCAAATGGATAATAAGAAAACAATAATTGATGTATTGGTGCAGCGCTATCCTGCTGCTTCTATCTGTATGCCTATGAAGGAATAGCACCAGTGTGGATGGATATCATCCTGGCAGGGGAATCTGAAAGTGGAAGGTCCTTTTGATATTTCAGCAAGCGTTTTGGCCCTTTGGGTCGCTGCAAGGAGGTGAGGGGGCAATTCAGCCGTTTATGGATTATTTCCTATTGGTTGTCATGCTTATCCACTTTATCACCTGCACATTTAAGAAGCTTGAAGAGTCCAAATATTTTGGTGTTTAGACACCTGTAAACTTTTTTTCTTTGGACTTGTTTTATGATTCCCTTTTTTTTTTTTTTAATTTCACAATTTGTATTTAATTTTTTTTGTCACATATATGAATGTTGATTTATCACATCACTTGTCACTTATAAATCTTTGTCCCGCATTCTGGGATTATCACAGCTCATGTTAATTTGTGATAATTTTGTCCCACATTCTGGGATACATCACAGCACTTGTTATCTTGTGAAAATTTGTCCCACATTTTGTTACTCACAGATGTCACTGCCTCTTCACCAAATATTCTGGCATATTTAAAGCCTGTTGGTACGTTTTCTTGTGAGGATCTTGATCCCGTTATAGGGGTTTACTTTTACTTTATACATATATTGTTTTCACATCATTGTTAGTCCATTTGGACTAGTTTCATTTTCACTATTTTCAATCATTGCGTTTTTTTCACTTCTAGATCGGCTTAAGGATCATTTCACTTTATGATCATATTTATTCACCTTATATATACAGTATTTGTAATATTTGTCACTTTTTAAGTGTGTTTCAATTTTGTTATTGAGTTTCTAAATTTATGAAGAAATTAGATTTTTTATTCTTTTATTGGATATGTTTTATAACGGAAAGTAGAAGATACTGTTTTTTTTTTTTCAAACGTTTTTGGTCTTTTTTCGTTTATATAATAAAAAATAAAAACCCAGAAGTGATCAAACACTACCAAATGAAAGCTCTATTTGTGTGAAAATATGATTTAAATTTCATTTAGGTACAGTGTTGCATGACCATGTAATTGCCAGTTAAAATGGCAAAAAAGGACCCAGTCACGAAGGGGGTAAAACCTTCCAGGGCTCAAGTGGTTAAAGATAAATTTAAAGTGTTCAATTCAGGGTTGAGAATTATATTATACAGTTAGCTTAAAACAATCAGAATTTTTAAATTGATTAACTGGCTCCCAACCGCGCTATAGCTGAAGGACGGCTACAGCACGGTTGTGTAATCCATGGACGTCATTCCAGGACACGCCCCCCTGTGCGCCCCCAGCAGCGCACAACCGGCCCCGCCAGTGATCTCTGTGTCCTACAGACACAGCTGATCACGTGGTATGGTAAACGGCCAATCATGGCAGCTTTTTACCACGTGATCAGCTGTGTCCAATGACACAGCGATCACTGGGTAAATACAGTTGTCGGTTATTGGCTGCACTTTCCTCATGCTGTCACAGCATGAGGAAAGTACTGCCGAGAACCGGTGATTGTCAGCGAAGGGATCCGCACTGATCATCAGGGAACCGATGATCAGTGCCCTGATGATTAGTGCCCAGCAGTGCCGCCCACCTGTGCCTCCCATCTGTGCCCAGCAGTGCTGCCCTCCTGTACCCATCAGTGCCACACACCTCCATCAGTGCCACCCACCTGTGCCCATCAGTGCCACCCACCTGTGCCACTCAGCAGTGCCACCCACCTGTGCCCATCAGTGACACCCACCCGTGCCACTCAGTGCCACCCACCTGTACCCTGCACTGCCACCCACCTGTGCCACCCAGTGCTGCCCAGCAGTGCCACACCATCAGTGCTGCCTATCAGTGCAGCATCATCAGTGCCAGCTCTTCAGTGCCGCCTGTCAGTGCCTCCGACCAGTGCCCATCAGTGCTACCTATCCGTGCCATCAGCACTGCCTATCAGTGCTGCCTATCAGTGCAGCCTCATCAATGAACATCAGTGAAGGCGAAAAATTACACCTGTTTGCAAAATTTTATAATAGATACAAAGAAAAACTTTTTTTTTCACATTTTTTGCTTTTTTTGGTTTATAGCGCAAAAAAATAAAACACCCAGAGGAGAGTAAATGCCACCAGTAGAAAGCTCTATTTGTGTGAAAAAATTATAAAACTTTCATATGGATACAGAGTTGCATGACCGTGCAATTGTCATTCAAAGTGTGACAGCGCTGAAAGCTAAATTGGCCTGGGCAGGAAAGGGGTATAAGTGCCCGGCAGGCAAGTGGTTAAATTTATTGTGATCCAATACCTCAGAGCCAACCAAGAAGCACTGAACTGGTAGTGAAAATCATTTGACCATTTCTATTGTTAATCAAAATATTGAACGTATTGTTTCACCAGCATTAGATCATAAAACATGGAAAAGGACGCAAGATTACCTTACAAATTGTAATGTTCTGAGAAACTTAAAAGCATTGCAGAACATCACACTTCCATGTTTTACATGTTTGCAAGCTGGAAACCTAGAAACTGACTCAAAGATATGATTCTGATAAACACAACATCTGATTAGTTTCCCTTTACAAGCTTTGCCAATGTCATAATGCTAACCAATAAACATCTCAGCTTGAGTGCTTTGTATTGGGGCACATCCAGCTTAGCTAGTGTAAGCAACGTTTGACCTAAAATATGAAGCACTGCTGTACTGTAATTACATATTTAAAATCATGCTTTATCTTTGATGTCAACAAAAGCAATATGTGCAGGGCATTCTCCAACAAAGTGAAGGTGACTGATGCCTATATAAGTGAGAGCTGACATTAATGTGCCTACTTCATCAAGATGAACAAGTTACTGCTAGCGGGTAAGTGTCTTCTAACTCGCTTGTACAAAATCTGAGGTCTATTTGGTTGTGACATCATTACTCATTTTTTTTCCCAAATATTTCTATTTCAGGTTTGGCCCTCCTACTGCATGTGCAGTTAGGTATGTGTAAAAAAAAACCCAACAATATTGCCTTGTATTTTCTATTTACATTTTGTGTCAAATAATTATCATACATTAGTGCCAAGATGCATGGACAGAACTACATATACTTGCTGCTAAGTTTAGTGATGACATTGGTTCCTCCAAGAACGAATTGTCTTTTTGGGCTTCAAAGAGGAAGGCTTTTATGATACTTTCCAAGTACCTTCAAATATGGGGTCTGACCATGTTCTTAAACTGAAACACTCAGTACATATTTCATTGAATGCAATGTTTGTGCCATGACTACCCAATAACTACCCCCATAACTTACACTGTTTTCCCTGAAAGGGGTCAATTGGTAGAGTGTTCTGAGCAAATTTGAAGCATGGTCATCTTCTACATCCAGCTCCTATGAAGACATAGCCTAAGACACATCAAGGCACAAGCTCAATACATACTTCATTGCATGCAATATTTGGACCATGCTTCACCTTTGACTTTTACTGTTTTCTCTAAAAGGGGCTAATTGGGAGAACAGGTGAAGCATGGTCATCTTTTGCATCCATGAAGACATTACCTAAGACATATCAAGGCAAAAGCTCTGAATCCTATTTTGCATGCAGCGACTGTGCTGCGATATCATAAGACACAGCACTGATTGTAGCCTTGTAACCTACTTGGTGAACTCTGGCCATCCATGGCACTACATGAGTGTAAAACGGGATCTAGACAACTAATATGGCTCCTCAGCTGCACACATATTGTACTTTGAAGGATAATCTTATACCCAGGAACACTCAGCATTCTGCAGCACATAAGTCAGGCACACCATGTGCCCTCTGCCTCTGCAGAAGTGGCCAGGCTAAACAAACCGCATGTTATGTCCACTGCTTAGCATCAGCCCAATCAAAAGTCAGGGCTATGCACACAATACAAATTCCTATGGAAGCCCACTTGCCTCCTTCCTCCATTTTTGTATTTTTTGTCCTAGTACCCATTCATGTTCAGGTTTCTAGATGTTTTATAGCTTATTGTTTCAGTGTCCTTGTATGATAACCAGTAAAATATGTGAGTTTGGCAGATTTGCTTTAATTTACAGAGAGCTCTTCAGGGTCATGCATTTATAGATAGATGTCTATGCTTAAGAGCTGAAAAGTGTGCAGATTTCATTATTTTCCATCTTAGAGTATTTTTGTAGATGCCATCCATTTTTAGTGCTGCATTGACCGTCATTCTGTCCTTACCTAACTAGGTTCTTCTTTCAAATTGGTATGCTACTTTACTAACTGGGCCCAGTACTACCCTGGAGCTGCGAAGTACATGCCAGATAATGTGGACCCCTGCATGTGCACTCATCTGATTTACGCCTTTGCCACCATGACCAACAACCAGATTCAGACGTTTGAATGGAATGATCCAACCCTCTATGCTTCCTTCAATGGCCTGAAAAAATAGTATGTAAACCTACACTCTGGATTTAGGAAGTAATTGTTCTTTATTCAGTTGCCAAATAAACAGAGGACAGTTCCCTTATAGTTTAATTTTGTCTTTGATTAAGCCCCAGTTCACACTGCTGTGACTCATCATGAGAACAAATAAAGTCGCATGACAAGTTGAAACATTTATTTCAATGGGTGCAGTCTTAATAAATGCGACTCAAGTCGCAGCAAAAAATTTTAAAAGGTTCCTGTACTACCTTTCTGTGACTTTGGTAGGACTTGAGTGCCATAGACTGCAATGTTAAATCACAAAAGTCCCAAGTTGCACGACTTTGGGGTCACAGCTGTGAGAACTGAGCCTAAAGGCTGCAGTTATTGAATGTTTTATTGGTTATCAGCCAAGAAAACATCCCCGTTTTTGTTTACAGCAACAGTGAATTGAAAACACTTCTGTCTGTCGGAGGCTGGAACTATGGAACCTCTGGGTAATAAGATACTATTTGTCATACATGTTATTTGAGTAAAGTAAGATACGTTTACCACTGCCACTTACAACAAAACAAAACATTGCCTTTATTTTCAGGTTTAACACCATGGTTTCCAGTTCTGCAAACCGTCAGACTTTCATCAATTCTGTAATCAGTTTTCTGAGACAGTATGGGTTTGATGGCTTGGATATTGACTGGGAGTATCCTGGAGACTCAGACAGAGGAAGTCCTCCACAAACCCAACAGCTCTTCTCTGTCCTGCTGCAGGTATAAAGCATTATTTCTACAGTTATACTGTAGGCTCCTAGGTTATGTGACATAACTTGTTTATGCCTATTTGTTTTAATTACTAAGAAGCTCACATTATAGATAGCATACTAGCTTACCCATCTCAGTTTTCGAGAGAAGATTCTTTTGACTCCAGCCTAGGATACTTTCTTGCAAAACATAACCAGGAACTGTTTTCATTAGTTCTGTTGCACTGTTGGTACTTTTATTCTCAGGGCCACTGAACACCACAACCCTCTGCACTATTTTGAGTCCAAAATCAGTTTCACAAAATCTAGCTGGCATTAAAATCAGCGGTACACATAATGGACCTTTGCGCTTTCACAAATTATTTCCCACTACTTTCTGCCATGAGATAATATAGCAATTATCATCTCAAGATGGTGTTTCCATAATCTTATTTTCAATTGAAAAAAAATGTAAAATCATTATCTCTTTGCGACATTTTGCTAAGGGTGACTGTTTTAGGACTAGGTCACATGCCGTACATTTTTAATTACTTCCTTACCAGGCCAATTCTGACATTTTTCTCCTACGTGTGAAAATTATAATTTCTTGCTAGAAAATACTTAGAACTCCCAAACATTACATTCTTTTTAAGCAGAGGCCCTAGAAAATAAAATGGTGTGTGCTTTTTTTTATCTCATACGGACAATTTTTTATCTCACGCGGTATCTGCACAGCAGTTTTTTTAAACACAAATGTTTTGGAAAAAATACACTTTAATGAATTTTAGTCAACACAAACACAATATAATACCCAGTTTTGTAAAATATAAGAGATAATCTTGCACTGAGTAAATACATACGTAAAATGTCAGACTTTAAAATTGCGTATGCCCATGGAGCAGTGCAAAACTAAGGTAGCAAAAATTCTCCATAGGTGATATTTTAAAAGCCTTTATAGCATATCAGCTTAAAATTACACAGGAGGTCTGGTGCTAGAAGTATTGCTCTTATTCTGATGTTCCAGCAATACCTCAGATGTGTGGTGCGAACACCGTTTACATATGCATGTGGGAATTACGTATGTGTTCACCTTTGCATAAATGGAGGGGAGTGCAGGGGCACTTTACATTTTCTTTAAAATTTTATTTTACTTATTTATTTTTTTTACACAGTCTCCTTTTTTTGGGGGGGGGGGGGTCACAACCCTTGTGGTAACTGGAGCAGTGACATGTCCACTTTTCATGATACATCTGGGATATATTAGGGCCCAGATCTCTCCTCTGCCCTCAAAAGCATCTGATCTAGCCAAGATCTGTTTGGTCAGATGCATTCACAAGCCAGTATTGGCTTGTTTACATCCTGGCAAAACTGGAAGTGGCAAAATACTCATCACCTCCAGTTTCTTATACCATAGAGATGATCAGGTAAGTTCCAGTCCTCAGTCATCTCTATGGTAAGCCAGTGGAACTTCCGGCTTCATGGTCCTGGGCTCTCCGGTCCCACCAGAAAGGTGCCGGGAGAAAGGGGGCCCCTCCTACCGCTTGTACAACCGATTCAGTAGCTGTTTTGCCACTCGGATTGCTTTTATATTATCCAGCATGGCCAGCCTTAATTTTGGGATGATGTCTGCAGCTGAAGGCATCATCCTGGTATAACCACTAAAAGTCCAGGACGTCATATGATGTCCTAGTGGTTAAAGTGGCAAGTGCACATTTTATCTTCCTCACTCAGTTGTTCTTTAACATATTATATTCCCATTTGTTATTCTAGGACAGTGATATTAAACTGGGGTTGTTTGCTTTGTTGCCCTTGTTATGATGAGAGATACTACAGAAAAGTGATGCTCCTCTTCCGTGAAGTGTATAAAATGCTAAAAATCACTTTGTAAACATGACTGAAACATTCTCTGGAGTTTTTTTAATAATTAGAAATGCATGTTGTGTTTCTTATAATTTTCCCCACTGGCATGCTACTATCAGATGAGGAAGCAGATGGTATGGATATTAGGATGATAGGATAGGATAATAGGATGTTCATGTTGGTAAATGGTGAGCTCTTTAGATCTGTTACATGAGCAGAAAGCACACAATGTGTACCACGTACTGTATATGTGACAGAAGTTCACAGTGAAAAATGCTGTTTAGAAATTTTATCAGTGAGTATTTGTTAGAGTCAATACTGAAGTTTTCTACCTTTTTTGCTAACTTAAATTATTGTTATTATACGATCATGATTATTTAGCTGCTCATTTGATCAGAATGACTGCTAGGCAAATAGCATTTTCCAGAGGAGAGGACAGTAATGGCAGCTTATGTTTCTTTTAGTACAGGAGTCCTTTAAATAGGCAAGCATCTGCTATTTGTCCCATATTGATAGACAGGTGAAGAGAGTTCTCTGTTTTATTAATATTTCTGCCCTTCTGTAGGAAATGCAAGCTGCGTTTGTTCAGGAAGCAAGTCAGACCAACAGACCTCGTCTACTCATGTCTGCAGCAGTATCTGCTGGCAAGTCAACAATTGAAAATGGATACCAGATTCCACAGTTATCTCAGTAAGTGCCCATAAATATAGATGGTATATTTTAAAACCTACTACCTTCACCTCTTTCTATATAAACATGGTAGAAGCAGTTTTGTATACATTTTTTGGAACAAATATTTTAATAAACATTGATTCAAATACTGTTAGGAGTGGATAAGATGAAAGCTTGTCTACTTTATCACACCTGATTTCTACATCTTATCCAATTCATATGCAGACCACAAAATTAATGTCTATGAAGAATCACATATTGCTAATGGTGTGTGAAGTGGCACAAGCATTCACTAGTTAAAACAGAACTACACTGCATCTAAACACCAAAAATCAAAATGTAAAAAAACAATTAACTAATTTTTAACACAAACATACCCACCTATCCATGTCTCAATGCTTTATTTTGCTGAGAAATCACTTTGTAAAACATCTCCCTAGCATGTAGCATTTACTTCCTGGAATCCATCTGCTGTTAGCTCAGGCACGCAGGCGGTTGGTGTGTTTAGCTTAGCTTAGGTTGGTGAGAAAACACTCCTTCCCCTCCTGAAGACTCCTGGGATGTATGATATCATTTGCCTAGGCCTGGAAACCAAAAAGTAACTCAAGAAATGTAAAAAAAAAGTTTAAATCAAGTAAATATAATATACAGTACCTTCCTATCTATTTACTAATGCTAGCAGAATGTGGTTTTAAAAATAGTCAGTGTTGATTGAGAGAGTGAAGGTCCACTTGTATTTTGTTTATTATTATGATCATGATTATTTAGTGGCTCATTTGATCAGAATGTCAGCCTACAATAGCATAGAAAGCATGAGCCTTCTAGATACAACAGAGACAAGGACAGGAGCCTGCCTGAGCTCTGGAACGATAACCAATGGCCTGACCTGAATAGCGCAGTCTAGGAAACCTGCACTCGTTGACTGACTGGAGAATTTCCATATCCATCTAATGGAATGGTGAGTCTCAAATTCAGATTTAGGAGAGCTGTTTTGCCTTTTGACTTTACGATGTGATACATACTGAAAAAGTAGGTATGTACATTGCTCATTAAGGGCTATTCCAGATGTGTTTCTGCATGCGAGCTTTTAACACATTTTTGATGCGTTTCTGAGGTACATTCCGGAAGCTTATTTTTCTATTTTTTTTCCTGTTTTTTTTTCTCACTGTACTGGGGTCCGGTGCATTTTTTATGCATTTTTGATGTGTTTCGGTGTGATTTTTTTGTGCATTTTACCACTTTCCCATACAATCAAATGCAGGCAAAATGCAGTAATTTAACTCTGGGCTGATCATTAGCCTTAAAATGACCAATCCAATTTATTTTAAATATCCCTGCCTGATATACCATACTTTGAATGACAATTAGGACCAGTATTGTCGCTAGGCCCAAGTAGCTGGGCACACACCCCATCTCCCCTGCCAAGCGACCCAGGTCTTATATCCAAGGTTTCCATTACTGTGCAAGTGTCTCTGAATATACTCAGTATACAATACATTTGCCCCTATGTATACTTGATATGCTGTTTCAGCACTCTGTAGTCCTGTCTGTACAGTAGCATAGTAGTGATAGAGTAGGCATCAACCTGTGCCACTACATCAGCGGCCAGGTCATCTTAGTGTGCCCCTTCAGCAGGGCTGGCACATTCTCTTTCCTAAAAGATGCCACCATCTTTGAATGTGTCACAAACAGAAAACAAGAGGAACAGCACTGGAATGACTGCAACTGCCTGCAACTAGCTGTGCCACACAAAGGCTAGATGAGGGCTATAGTTAACTTCTCTTTGGGACTATAATTCCTTGACTGAAAAGGGGCTTTTAATTATTAATTGCTGATTTATTTACAATGGGGGGCTGCGGATTACATGGTATAATAGCAATAGAATAATAGTGGATGGAAGATTAGATGTTAAAATGGTTGCTGGAACATTCTACTTTATATTATAAAGTTGTCTGGGGATTCTATGGTATATTATAATATTGGTGTAAGGCAGGGCCAGGACAAGGGGGCAGGATGGTCAGCTGTTCTGAACACTGTGGTAACATGTGAGGTGAGTCGCCTCAAGGAGATTGGGGAAGGAGCTTTGTGTTGGGAGGGGAATTTTGGGGTTTGGCAGGGGGTAAGAATTGTTATAAGAGGGGAAATTTGGGGGAGTATGCTAGGAATGATGATTTGGGGGGATTTGTTGATGGGGAGACGGGGGGAGAGGATTTGTGCTAGGAGGGGGGATTTGTACTGGAAGGGGAATTTCTTTTGGGGGGATTTGTGCTGCTAGGGATGATTTGGGGTATTTGTGCTAGGAGGAGATTTGTGCTGGAGGGAGGGGGGATTTGTGTTGGAAAGGGGGGATTTGGAGTAGGGGGAGAGGATTTATGCTCAGAGGAGAAATTTGAGGGGTAGAGGATTCGTGCTAGGAGGGGTAATTTTTTTTTCATTTCTTGGGGGGGGGGATTTGGGGAAAGAAAGCATTTGAGCTGGGAGGGAGGGATGGGGGGGGCAAAGATTTGTGCTGGGAGGGAGAATTGCAGCAGATTGATACTGGAAGGAAGCACATATTGCTGATACATTTTGGGGGAGAGCGCAGTTTGGCATGTTCACCCTGGGTTCTAGATGACCTTGTCCTAGCACTGGTGTAAGGTTTAAATGTTATAAGGTGGTGGAACGATTATAATAGATATTACAATGGTAGCTAGAGAACTCTATATTATAAAGACGAGTGGAGGATTCCGTGACATGTTATTATGGTGGCTGGAGATTTGTTGATGGGAGATGGGGGGAGAGGATTTGTGCTAGGAGGGGGGATTTGTACTGGAGGGGGAATTTCTTTTGGGGGGATTTGTGCTACTAGGGATGATTTGGGGTATTTGTGCTAGGAGGAGAAGGATTTGTGCTGGGGGGAGGGGGGGACTTGTGTTGGGAAGGGGGGATTTTGGAGCAGGGGGAGAGGATTTATGCTCAGAGGAGAAATTTGAGGGGTAGAGGATTCGTGCTAGGAGGGGTAATTTTTTTTTCTTTTTGTGGGGGGGAGGGGGTTTGGGAAAAAAAAAAAGCATTTGAGCTGGGAGGGAGAATTGCAGCGGATTGATACTGGAAGGAAGCACATATTGCTCATACATTTTGGGGGAGAGCGCAGTTTGGCATGTTCACCCTGGGTTCTAGATGACCTTGTCCTAGCACTAGTGTCAGGTTTAAATGTTATAAGGTGGTGGAATGATTATAATAGATCTTATAATGGTAGCTAGAGAACTCTATATTATAAAGATGAGTGGAGGATTCCATGACATGTTATTATGGTTGCTGGAGATATACTGTATGTTAGGATGGTGGCTTGAGGATTTTACTGCGTTTCAACATGAAGAATAGAAAATTTAGATAACATAATGGTAACTGGATGATTCTACTTTACACTTGAAAGATGTCTAGAGGATTCTATGGTGTTTATGCATAATCACGGTGGCTGGCAAATTGTATGCAAATTATGTTATTTTGGTGAGTCAATGAATAAAACATTAAAGGGGCCTAGAAGATTTATATATAGAACAATCTTTTATCTAGTCTTAGAATACTAAACCTTATTTACCTCCACTTGGGATAACCAGAATCTTTAGTATTTAACAAATGATAAAGTGTTATCGGTATTTGTTTTTTTTCTCTAAGAAGATCTAGTAAACTATTAGGTATTGGACTGTGAACAAACTAAACCACAGATGCAGTTCCTGAAAAGCTCAAATGCTAAACAATTGGGGTTGCTATATAGATCACTTATAGTTATATATTTAGCCTAAAAAGGACGTATGCCATCACATTCAATCAAAAAAATCTACCAAATTCAACCCCAGATTTACACCCATATTTGCCTGCATATTTTATCCCCTTCCAACAGAGTATTTACATTTATCCACATGGAACATTATTTGCACTGCAGTTGCTCAATCATTTAGTTTTAGTTCAACAATTTAAAACACACTCCATGGGTTGTATTGCGCAGTGAAGATTTGTGTCATCCACAAACACAGAGAACATTTATTCCCCATTTCAACATTATTTTTATACAAGTTGAATTATCCCCTGCCATAATGTTTCTACCAGATTTTCCTCTTGCATACTCCACTACTATCTGGACCATTTTGTACCCAACAAATTTTCCTCTGTGGTGAAACAATACACTCTTTTCTATTTCATTTGCAAATTTAAACTCCCTGTACTTCTTTTTCTTTTTGTTGTCTCTATAATCATCCATTAACTGTGTGGTATCCATATGCCAAGTACAACTGCAGTCTGATATACTAGGAACTGCTTTTCTAGTCTCATAAATTTTAAACATATTACAACATGGCTTCAAGTACTTGTCACTGCAACCTTAAACAATCATCAATAAATGCAAAGCAAAAAACAAAGGTTAATATAACTGTTAAGTTAAATTAAGAAAACATTTTATATGTGTTATTTTTATCAAAAATTGGTGATTAAACAAAAAACTTTAGTTAAAGAATGAAACAGTGCTTGAAATTGAACAGTGTGTAAGCTATTCGTTATCCATGCTGCATAATTCTATTTAGAAAGGTATTAATGGCTATTGAAGTCGGTTCTGCAAGAGTCTAATAAAATCTTTTGCATGAATAGATACTTGGACCTCATCAATGTAATGACATATGATCTGCGTGGTTCATGGGAAGGGTTCACAGGAGAGGACAGTCCCCTTTTCCAGGGCCCAGCTGATCAGGGTGGTTATATCTACTTCAATGTGGTATGTTTCATTGATTATTATTCCTGTATTATAAAGTCTATATTTTATTCTTCAACAGATTTATTTATTTATTTTTTTTAAATCATATTTAGGATTATGCTATGAATTACTGGAAGAATAATGGAGCTGCACCAGAAAAGCTTATGGTCGGGTTCCCAGCCTATGGACGAACCTACACACTTTCAGATCCTTCTAACAATGGTCTTGGTGCCCCAACTTCTAATGGAGGTCCAGCTGCTAAATATACACAGGAAGCTGGATTTATGGCATACTTTGAGGTACACTAATTGTGAACATTTTTAAATGTATGGTGCATTGTAGTTCTGGCATTAAAAGCTGTTTAAAACTGTGTTGGCTTGTTGAAAACAGAGTTAGGCACTTGTAAGGGCACAGAAGCAGAAATACAATTACAGATATGTGTAAATGATTTATTTGGGAAAAAACACGCACAAACAAAACAAACAAGATTTTATTTTGTTGGGTCCCTGAGCGGAGGTCAGAGCACTTATCCAATTCTGAATGTTTCCTGTGGTACTCCATCAAAGCAAACATGCTTGAACCCAGTAGTACAGTGCTTACTCTTCTTCTGCTTGGATTGTGACTCATTTATGATGCTCTAAACTGATTGCTGCCAGTGGCATTTATGTTTAGAAATGCTTAGGCAGGCCATACATGATTCATTTTTTTTTGTTCAATCAGCAGATTGAATGACAACAAAAAAGAATCAATTTCCCCTTCTACACATTTGATGTGGATGGGGAAATCACTGCTGAGTTATTGTATTCTGCCGGAGTGGAAAGCACTGATTGGAAAAAATACAACAGGCTGGTTGTACACCATTTGACCGAAAGACTGCTTTGTTTACAGCCAGCTAGCTTATACATGGATCGAAATTTGTCCAGTCCCTGCTGAGCCAGCTAAATTTCTTTTTGTTTACAAACGGTTTTATTTAGCAAGAATAGACTGTAAAACAACAGTACAGTGTCAAGTGATACTTACAGCAAAAACAAGGCACTTTTGAAAAGTACAATACAATAATGTATATTATTATAAGAAAGAAAGGAAATAGAAAAGAGTAGATTGCAAGTACATGAAAAACGTAGACAGTAAAATAGGTTGAATGATACATCTGTCAACAGTATATGCCAGTCAACCTTCACTTGGAATGTTGCTAATCATGCAATAAATGTCTATAGTCCCTCCAGGATTCCCATTTATTATCAAATAAGTGCATCTTATCCAATAGGGTATAATGAATACACTCCATGAGCATCACAGCATCAACTCTTTGTAAAACGGAGGCTAAGGGTACAGTATCGGATTTCCAATGTAAGGCAACAGCCCACAAAGTGGCAATACAAATAGTATGTATCAATCTCATAATGGCGTAAGAGACCCCCGGGATATGAGCCCCCAACAAACAGGTCTGTATAGACAATCGCATTGGGATACCCGCCAATGAGGTAGCCGAGCCAGCTAAATTTCAATACAAGTATGGTTGGCTTTAAGGGAAAGCAAGAAAATGAATATCACTGGGTTAAGGTGAGTTTATAAGTGGCAATAAGGGCCTTGGTGCTAGCTCAGCGATCTGTAGGAACAAGGATAGAAGCACAGGTTTTGTCTTACCTTGAAAATTGATCACAAAGGTATCCTCTCCCATAAATTCCAGCAAGAAATATACTGGCTATGTATTACAAATAAACTTTTTTTTAAAGAAGACACATTTATGTTTACTCATTCATTTCTATTTTCACACAGATTTGTGGATTTTTGAATGGAGCTACAGAGGTGTGGAACAGTCCTCAAGAAGTCCCTTATGCCTACAAAGGAAGTGAATGGATTGGATATGACAACCCAAAGAGTTTCAAGATCAAGGTGCAAATAGATAGATAGATAGATAGATAGATAGATAGATAGATAGATAGATAGATAGATGTTAATTCCATGATAAATGGGGCATATGAGTCTAAGGACACATTCCAGAAGATTTAGTAAAACTGGTGCACTCAGAATCTGGTGCACCTGTGCATGGTAACCAATCAGTTTCTAACTTCAGCTTGTTCAGGTAAAGTGGCTGTAAAGGCTCAAGGTTTTTTACCTTCATGCATTCTCCACCCAGCTCCCCTCAATACTTACCTGAGGCCCATCGTAATCCAGCAATGTTCACGAGAGTCTTGGCTCTCTGGGGACTCTCTCTCCTCACTAGCTCAGATCATAGCCTGTCAATCACAGCCAGTGAGCCAATTAGGAGAAAGAGAGGGGCGGGGCCGAGCTGCGGCTCCATGTGTGACTGACCATGCAAAGCAGTGGCTCGGGATCGAGTCTGCTTGGGTGCCCCTATAGCAAGCTGCTTGCTGTGGGGGCACTTGGCAGGAGGAAGGGGCCATGAGCGTCGGTGGGGAACCCAAGAAGAGGAGGATCGGGGCTGCTCAGTGCAAAACAACTGCACACAGCAGGTAAGTAAAACATGTTTGTTTGTTTTTAATGCCTTTTAATATCACTTTAAAGTGTTACTAAACCCATGACCCTGCATTCACTCTGTCCAGTCTTCCACAGTACATGGAAATGCAATTATTTTAGTAAATATAAACTGCTAAATACCTTTTCACCATCAGCAGTACAGAGCAGTCTTGTGACTATCACTGTCTGGCCAGGCACTGGTTAATCCTGTAGGAGGAGTTTTCATTCTCCTCTGACTGTCCTATAAGGCTGCATGACCCCTGACCCTCTGCTGATCACATGCACCCTCCCAAAAAAAAAAAAAACCTCTCTACCAATATACACCAAACAGAGCCAGCGATGTGAATAACAGCCTCGCCTGTCTTGGGTCTCTGCTTCCTCAGTAGCTGAGGCAGCAAGCAGGAGTCATTGGCTTCTGCTGCTGTCAATCACAACCAGTCAGCCAATGAGGGGAGAGAGGGTTGGGGCCAAGCTGCAGCTCCGTGTGTGAATGGACACACAGAGCAGCGGGTGCCCCCATAGAAAGCTGCTTGTTGTAGGGGCACCCTACAGACAGGAAGAGCTAGAAGAGCCTGCAGGGGACCCAAGAAGAGGATCCAGGCTGTGCAAAGCCACTGCACACAGTAGGTAAGTATAGACATGTTTGTTATTTTACAAAAAAAAAAACCTTTAGAATCGCTTTAATCCCTTAGGTTCCACAGTGAGTATAATAAGAATGCTTTACTGTATACTGTATACAGACTGATTTTACTGTTTTAGGTTTAAAGTTTGTAAACTTTAAGCTTTGACAATAAAACCTGGAAGCTGATTGGTTTCTACGAAGAGATGCACAAGATTTTGCACGCTCCAGTTTTAGTAAATATCCCCATTTTTGTAGATTTTAAGACTTTATATACATTTAATTATTGATTTTAATGATCCTTCTGTTTCTGATTATTTATTAAAATAATAGCTTCTATCTCATACAGGCAGAGTGGCTAATGAAGAACAACTTTGGAGGTGCTATGGTATGGGCTCTTCCCCTGGATGACTTCAGTGGCAATTTCTGTGGCCAAGGCAAATACCCTCTGATGAGCACACTGAAATCCACTCTGGGGATATCTTTCCCAAGTGAGTATTCTGCACTGTGTACATACAAAGTTTTAAGACTTGTTTAGCAGTGGAATTCTAGTTTAGACACATAGGAATATTCTAATCACTACTTATTAACTTTAGAGCTATTGTTCTTTTTGTCAGTCATGGTACTCATTCTGTTATAACATCCAGGAAATGATAAAAGCATAAGAATGAGAACCTAAAAAAAGCCACAGTAGCTGTGTTGGTATAGACAATATAGTGTACAATATATAATTGGGAGATTTCAATAGCCCAAGAGAGAAGGGATATCAGTCATTTTTCTTGACCAAAATGGGATGTAATCATGGCCGGATCTAGGGGGGTGCTGGGGTGGGTTGTGCACCCCAGATTTCTGTTGTGCCCCCCACCCCGACCGGCTGAGTTTCTTCCCAGTCCCAAAACTGGAATGTGCAGCCTGGAGCAGTGAGCTGTGATTAGTAAAGTTCAAACAGCAGCAGCGGTAGACAGGAGAGAGGCTGAGCTGTGTTCTCCCCATCCTGTCAGTGCAGCGCTCCCCCACGCAGCACATCACACAGTATTGCTAGTTCGGACGGCACACAGTTTAATTACACTGCCCTATACACATTTCCTCCTGCAGTGACATGAGCAGTCCTTGGAGGAGATAGAGTGCTGGTAATTAAAACTGTGGGCAGCCCAAACTAAGGATCCTGTGTGTGTGGAGGAGTGCTGCACTGACAGGAGCGGTAAGACACAGCACAGCCTCTCTCCTGTCTCCTGTGGGGGGGGGGGCTTACAGGCGGGGAACATAATGTGAGGGGTTGGGGGGTGTGACTTGTGCTTGGAATTTGTGCTTGGAATGAGAGGTAGAGGGATTGGAGACTATTTGTCTGGGGAGGGTAATTGGGGGGAGATGTTTGCTTAAAGGGGGGATTGAGGTGGAAGGATAAGTGCTATTAGGAGGAATGAGGGGCAATTGGGGGGGGGAAATATGCTAGGACTAGGACTAGGAGGAGGGGATTAGGGGAGATATGTGTTTGGAGGGGGGAATATGTGTTTGTAGGGGGAATTTGGGGGATATTTATTTTATTCATTTATTACAGGTACTTATATAGCACCGTCAATTTACACAGTGCTTTACACATATATATTGTACATTCACATCAGTCCCTAACCCTCAAGAGGTGTACAATCTGAGGTCCATAACTTACATTCATACATACACATTCTAAGGCCAATTTAGACAGGATCCAATGAACCTACCAGCATGTCTTTGGAGTGTTGGAGGAAACTGGAGTATCCGGAGGAAACCCACACAGGCACAGGGAGAACATGCCAACTCCAGGCAGGTGATGCCGTGGTTGGGATTCGAACCAAAAACTCTAGTACTGCCAGGCAAAAGTGCTAACCACTGTGCTGCCTATGTGTTAGGAGGGGGAGACGTATTAGGAGGGGGGATTGGAGGGGATATGTGCTAGGTGGAGGGATTGGGAAGGGGGAATATGCTAAAACCAGGAGGGGGGATTTGGGGAGATATGTGTTTGGCGGGGGATTGGGGGGATATGTGTTAGGAGGGGGGATTGGGGGGGATATGTGCTGGGGGGGGGGGAATTGGGAAGGAATATGTGCAAGGAGGGAGTTTGGTTGGATATGTGCTAGGAGGGGGGATTTGAGGTGGAGGGATTTGGGGTAAGAGGGGGATTTGTTTTTTGGGGGGGGGATTTGTGCTAGGAGGAGTTGGGGGGGAATTTGGGTTAAGAGGGGAGGGCTGGGGAGGATTTGTGCTCAGAAGGGGAGGAGGGATGATTTTTTGGGTGAGACATGAAATGAGGGCACTCAACAGATCTTCTCCTCCCCTCATAGCACATAGCTGAGATTTGCTTGAATTTACTTGCAGAAACAGCCTCAATCAGTAGCCAGCTACACACTGTGCAGATGGATGCTGTGTCTGTAAGGGAATCCAATCTCAGCTATGTGCTGTGGTGTGGAGGAGCTCTGAGTACCCAGGCTTTTGCAGTGTGGGGAAGGGAGGAGGAGATATGCTGAGTGTTCTGCCAGCAGTGACCCTGTCCTCTGCTGACCATTTTCTTCTGCCCTGCTGACCCCTTTACACTGCCCTGTTGACCCCTGCCCTCTGCACTGCTGACCCCTGCCCTCTGCACTGCTGACCCCTGTCCTCCATCCTGTTGACCTGATAACCCCTTGTCTCCACCCTGCTAATCTCTGTCATATGCTCTGATGACCCTTGTTGTCTATTCTACTGACCCCTTTACACTTCCCTACTGACTCTTGTACACTGTCCAGATGCACACTGTCCTCTTCTCTGATAATCCCATGTACACTGTCCTACAAACTAATGGCTTCTGTAGACTGCCCTATAAACTGCTGATCCTACCCTCTGCCCTGCTGACCCCCTGTATACCACCCCACTGACCTCACATCCTCTGCCCCTCTGACATTTTTTATTTCACCCTCACATCAGACAGGCTAGATCCAGCCCTGGATTTAATAGACCCAGGGGCGGACTGACCATTTGGAAACTCGGGCACTGCCCAAGGGCCCGGGGTCAGTAGGGGGCCCCATGAGATGCCCCTGGTACCTTTTTCATAGGCTTTTTTGAGTTTGGGCAAGGACACAGGGGCCCCATGATCCCCTATTGCCCGGGGGTCCCCATGAGTTGTCAGTCTGCCCCTGAAAAGACCTATTGAAGACTTGCAGGCTTGGTGATTACTTGATGGTATTTGGGAGAGTTCAAAGAAGGAAGAACTAGTGCAGGATAAGAGAAATGCTAGGTCTGTAAGTGAAAGGTGCTGATTAGAGGAAATTTGGGAGCAGAGCAAAGATGTGGTGTTGTGAACATATAGAAAGCAGGCATTAGATGTGCTGTATGTAGATGCCAAACTGTTGCTTTATGGGTGACTTTTTATTGCATGCATCCAATGAACAATTTGAAGTTTGCCTTTTCACTTGAAAGGAAAACTTTCAAATAAATCTAATCTAAATTATATATACTGTAGAATAAGCTTGCTTATCGAAGCACTGCTTTTTGCCTTTTACACTGCTGTATTTCTTGTGTATGGAAATCTGAATAATTTATATAAGCCCATCTCCAGTCAATTTTTTTTTTTTAGTTTTGGACAGATAAAAATATAGATCCCCTATCAGAATTTTATTGTGATGTGTGTCCTGGGGAGATTTTCCCTCACTTCCTGTTGGGATAGTTGGGACAGGAAGTGAAATCTTTCCACTGGTTACATAGTTAGTCAGGTTAAAAAAGACTCTAGTCCATCTGGTGACACAGTCAGCAACAAAACACATTTTTGCAGTAAAATGGAATTGAGTTACAATCTGTCAGGGGATGATTACTGTCTGTGACCACTCTCTTGTCCCACAGATATTTTTTTGTTTGTCATGCTGTCCACAGATAGTCAGTGGGACAGGAAGTGAGGCAAAATCTCCCTAACAAGTTTACAGACAGCAATAATACTTTGCCAGATTTACAAAGGCATATATACATGTAAAAGGCTATCCATTAAGCTGAGTTGAGCTTGATAAGTTGTTTGTTGTATATATGGATACTTCAATAAATAAATAATTGAACTACTAAAATTCAATGATGTAGCAAACTAAACACAAGTTTAGCCAAATACTGATTTTACAAGTGATTATAGAGTATACAATAAAGTATGTATGCAGCCAAAAAATGAATAACTGTGACTAGCTGTCTTCTGTGGCAAATGATATTTCTGTTTAATATGTCATTGTATTATAGGTTTTGTGTAAACATCAAACCTTTAGGCTGCATTCACACTTGAGCTGAGCATTTTTTTAGGCATATTTACAAAAATTTTGTTGAGCAGAATTGCAAGTATGTGAGGCGATTTTCATTTAGGCATCTTTTATGGGGGGATGTGTGGCGAATAGAAACCTTTGCTCTGCTTCCTTGAAGGGGACATGCAGCTAAAATGTTGCAAAATAAACTTCTAGGCAGGTTTTACATAGGCAACGCAGGATGGAGAAGACTGATCATATGGCTGGATCACACTTCTGGAAAAGAATACAGCTGCAAGTTTCCATAAAAATTCTAGAGCAAGATATGAAGTTAAAACAGTGGAAAATCATGCCTGACTAACATGCCTTCAAGAAATGGTGTAGAATGGTGTAGAAGAAATGGTCCTAGGCAAGTCATTCAACAAGAAAACCAGAATCAAGCACATGGCTGCTGTGTATAGAAGTTCTGTACCTTTCTCCTTGATCTGAGGAGCTGTTCCACTGGAACAGCAAATTCCTTTCAACTTCCTACTAGGTTCCACTCAGCGGTGGTTCTTGCCCGGCTTTTATCATGGGAAGCCCAGGGATCATAGATGCAGGGGTGACCACAAATTAGACCAATGAATATCTAGTGATGCTAGAAAAGGAGAGCTCCTGTTTGAGCTGAAAACACTTAAAATATGCTTGAAAAACTCTCATAAATGCTAATTTCTCGCTATACAGGCATTTTCCATTGAAGTCTATGGTCACAAAAACACCCAATTCTGTCTAAAAAGTAGCTCATGTACATTTTTGAGCAACAGGTGTTTTGCTACAGGTGACAAAACATTCAAAAGTGAACAGGGGACATTGAAATGAATGGAATTTTCCTTGTTGAGAGTTTTTGAGCTTTGAGCTACAAAACGCTAAAGTGTGAACGGAGCCTGAATTGTTTATCGATAGCATAACAGCTAGAAAAGCAAATATATACATAGTTTGAAACACTTTGTATGATATATACTAATATTAAATGACATGGTCTCTTCATCAATCAGATTGCCAGACACCAACTATAACAGTAGCACCAGTATCAACATCAGCAGCTGTGAACAGCGGGAGTGGAAGTAGTGGAGGCAGCAGCGGAAGCAGCAGTGGTGGCAGCAGTGGAGGCAGCAGTAGTTTCTGTGTCGGAAAAGCAAATGGCCTTTATTCAAATCCAAACAGCAAAAGTGGCTTTTTTAACTGTGTAAATGGAAATACCTACCAGCAATCCTGTCAGACAGGTTTAGTGTTTGATACCAGCTGCTCTTGCTGTAATTGGGCATAAAAAGAATCATCTGAAATGTCAATAAACCATTTCTAACATTTAATAAACATCAAAGAATCACAATTCTGCGTGACTGTATTTAATTACGAATTGATAAATGTTTTATATATATTACAATGGTTTTTAGCCACTGCTAGTTTTCTTTAATTCCTATCCTATTTTTTTGTAAATTTCTTCATATTATGTTCTTCATATTCTTTATACCTTCATATTATTTCTAAGTACAAAGCTGGTGGTATTTAGGGATGAACAAGTCTGTCCGGGTTCATTGAATCCTGTTTGGAATTTGTGAAACCCTAACTTAACATCAAAATTTGATACGGAGTTCTTACTATTTTCAAGAATAATGAATAATGCAGAATAATAGGCAACTGCTGGGCATTGACTGAGGCAACTGCTGGGCACTGACTGGCGCAACTTGGCCTTTTATCAGATCACGTGATCAGCTGTGTCCATAGGACACAGTGATCATGGAGATCGCCAGGGGCGCGCAGGAGAGCGCGTTCTGGGAGGACATCATATGACGGTCTCCCAGAACTGGCCAGCCGCAGTGCAGCTGTCATTCGGCTACCTGCGGTCGGCAACTAGTTAAACTACATGCCTGGTAGATGCCTTTAAGCTGTATATGGAGTTACAGAACAGTACGATTTTTATGGATAGCATCAGCAGCACTGTGTTTTGGTATCACATAGTTTGGATATTGTCACAAGTTAGCCTGCAGCCTCCTGTTGCTTTGTCTTACCTCCTTGCTGTTTGTGTTTCCTTCACATGTGTGTCTCTCTCTGCTCACCTATGGGTGTCGTCTGCTATTCCCTGGGTTTTATGTTCTTCCGTTTCATCACTTCCTGGCCCGCCTACTTGTCTGCCTGTCTATTTAAGACCTGCTCAGTCTGTCCCACATTGCCTGAGCAACATTTGTTGTCTGTGCTCCCCAGCATTCTTCCAAGTATCCGGTTTAGTGTTTCTGTGTACTGACCCCGGCTTTGTCCCTGACTTCTCTCCTACATCGTTTACCTGTGTACCGACCCCGGCTTCGTTCCTGACCTTGCTTGTCTTCCGCCTGTCCCGACTTCGGCTTGTCTTCTGGATCTCCTAGTCTACTCCCACTGCACCCTGCTCCCGCTAGCAGTCTCTTCTACCACAGCTGGGTGTACCTGGGGGCCACGACCTGGTTCCAGCCTGCTCCAAGTCCATCCCCACCATCAGGGGCTCTGGTGAACAAGCAGGCTGGGGCTTAGACTCCACGCCCTGGGGAACCCCAAGCTGTGGATTAAGAGCTCACCACCACAAGTGCTGACAGATATGTAATTGATGTTTTAATTTTTATATTTATTTTGGCTTAAATACAGCAACAGTACTCCAATATTATTAATCTTAACTGGGATTTTTGTTTTAGGTAGCTTTGACCAGGGGCGATTTATGAAATCAGTGGGTTTGTGTGCAAGATCATAAGTTGGGCCCCACTGCTCGAAAAAGAATAAAAAAAATCTTGTATGGTTAGTGCTTAGTGTGGTGTGGACATTGTTTTCTTTGTGCAAGGGGCTTAACTAGAAATGTAAAAGACCCGGGGCACATTTGGGTGCCCCAAGGAGAGTAGTAATGCGGTCCACATAGCACTTCATGTTGGGCAGTGGGTGTGGCCAGATTGCATTGACAGTGGGAGAGGCTTAAAGGGACATGGTTAGATAAAACAAAACCCTTCTTGTACCCATAAAATGTGCTTAGTTTGCTGTGCCACAAGTAACAGTCTCACAGACGTGTATAAACCTCAGCAGATCATTAACAAAAACTCTTCCATTACATATGATTTTGTGTATACTAAAATAGACAGAGAGACAACACTTTGTCTGAGACTACCTTAAAGTAGAACTTCATTTAAATAGTCAGGGACTGCTTAGCAACCAGCAGCTGTTGAAACAATAAACACTTTGGTGAAAAACATGTAGCGTACAATATAATGTATGTAGTACAGGAGTGTGTAATGTACAATATAGTGTATATAGTGCAGGATTCTATTAAGTTGGTCATAGACAGTTTTTTTCTTATTCAGCCAGTGGGCTGAGTATTTAAACTAACCGATTCCTCCATCCATGAAAATTAGGTCCTGCCAGGACGTTGTCTGTCCCCCAGTACAATGCCCCCCAGGTTAGTCTACCCTTCAGTGCAATCCTCTTCTCCCAGGTCAGTTTGTCCCCCAGTGCAATCTTCTCTTCCCAGGTCAGTCTGTCCCTAGAACAATCCCCCCCAGGTCACTCTGTCCCCCAGTGCAATCCTCCTAGGTCAGGTCAATCTTTCTCCAGTGCAATCCCTCCCCATGAGGCATTGCAACATTACAAAACTGAGTCTGTATGACTTGCAGAGGCATGATGGAACCCCTGCAAAGCTGGATTCCCCCAGGTCCTAGTCTTTCCCCAGTGCAATCCCTACCTGAGATCAGTCTGTGGGTCATGTCCCTATACATGTGTATACTATATTTTTGAGGGTATAAGAGAGGTGAACCTGAAGTATACCTATTGGATGCCAAACATCCCTAAAGGGCAAAATTGTATAGGACAAAACACCCCCCCCCCGAGTGGGACTTTATAGGCAACACCAGAGTGCATAAATGTTACATCAATCTTTATAGGACATGGATGAGTGAAGGCCATAAAACATTGAATAGGCGGTTTTACATTCAATGATTACAATGATACCATACAAAATTATGTCGACATAACAGAGTTCCTAGGTAATATCCAACGCATTTCAGAATAACTTTACTTTAATTGTAAAGAGCACAGAGGAGTGTGGAACACTGGAGTGCATATCGTACACAGAACACAGGAGTGCATATCGTACACAGAACACAGGAGTGCGTATCGTTCACAGAACACAGGAGTGCGTATCGTACACAGAACACAGGAGTGCGTATCATACACAGAACACAGGAGTGCGTATCGTACACAGAACACAGGAGGGCAAATTGTAAAGAGAACAGAGGAGTGTGTATCGTACAGAGCAAACAGGAGTGCATATTGTACAGAGCACACAAGTGCATATCATACAGAGAACACAGGAGTGCGTAACTTACAAAGCACACAGGAGTGCGTATCCTACAGAGCACACAGGAGTGCATATCGTACAGAAAACACAGGAGTGCGTATCATACAGAGAACACTGGAATGCATATCCTACAGGGAACACAGGAGTGCGTATCGTACAGAGCACAGGAGTGTGTATTGCACAGAGAACACAAGAAGGCCTATCCTACAAAGAACACAGGAGTTTATATTGCCGTCCTGCCCCCCTCCCAGAACACACCAGTCAGCGCTCACAGTCATTGGCTTTTCCAGCAAGCTTGTTCGACAGAAGCTGGCCAAGAGATTAGCTTCTGTCAAACATGGACACATGGGCTGAACGTTGACCAATATCTACTGTATCGGCTGATTTCAGCTGATATTTGGCCGTGTATTCTTCTGTAGACATTCATCACACATTAGTGCGGTTGGGTACTCGGAAGCAGTGATCAGTAATGCTGCAGTCTAGTAGCGGGCATACAGCACATTCAGTAAGCAAGCCCCACCTCCTGGAGACTCTGAGTTGCCAGAACTATAATCCTAGCATCTGGAAATGTGGCTCTGGCTACCTTCGCCTAAACGTAAAAAAAATCCATTGATGCTCCTACCTCTTGGGCCCCTCTGATTGAAATCATTGGGGCCCAAGGAAATGTTATGAACCATCTTTTACTTCATATCTGCCGTGTGTGTCAGTGCACAGTGCCCTCCTTGCCCTGGTGGCTGTGTGCTCCGCACACTGCACACATGGATGATACGTCACAGATGGTCATGAAGGGGGTAAAACCCTCCAGAGATCAAGTGGTTAAATAATCAGCTAATTTCAGGTGATGTTTTAAAGGCTTAATCATACACTAGCATGATATTCTGGTATCCTAATATCTGTGAGAATGGTGAATTTCTCCACATTGGTATCCAAATCTCTTCAGGGTCTCACTCCCACAAGCAAAGGTGTCCCCACCTTTACAATTTAAAGTAGTATTATTTCCCAAAGCAAACATTTATTATATTGCAGCTTACCAAGTTTTAGATGCGATGGCTGCCAGTTTTCTTTTTAAGCTCCCTTTCCTTTCCTTTCACCTGTTGATCCAGCCATTAAGTCTGCTGTTTTTCAGCAGAACAAGCTCTCTTGCAAATCCAGTACCCCTCTGGGGGCACACTAATACAGGGGCAGTGTTACTGGCCAGATCACCAGGTGAAAACAGGAAAAAAACCTAAAAAAGAAAACTAATTCAGCCACCACATCTAAGGATTGGTAAGCTGCTATATATTACATAGTTTGGTTTTGAGTTTAATACCGCTTTAAACCTGAACTCCATGAAACCTAAACATTTTTCATTTAGTTTTGCTGCACCCCCACTACGGGGGTTACCTGCCTGTTTATGTCTAGGGGATTTGGAAAATTGGATTTATCCACTTAAAGGCTCCTCCATGCTGCTAGACTGGTCCATGCAGCTTCTTTTTCCCTTTGTTCTGGCGGTCGAGGGTCCTCAGACTTCATCAAGACTAATGCAGGGACCAAAGCCCTGCACTGGATGTGAGTATACTGAGGTACCTTGACATGGAAGACAGGTAAGCAATGTCTTCCATGGGAACGAAGGATCAGGATCATAAGGAAAAAAATCCTTTGTTCTGAGCTGAAAAATTCTTGGTCTCATTTGCACAATTTAAATGTTGTATGCAACCCATTGTAGTCCAATTACATTCTAATACTCGATATAACAGCAGTTTGCACAGTGTATCATCCAAAGATAACATGTATGTTGCAATGCTCAATGGCTATCTCCATCACTAGAGATGAGCGAATCGAACATGACGAAGTGGAATTCGTTCCGAAGATTTGGAAAAATTCTATTCGCGACGAATCCGAAGATTAGGAAACTTCGGATGCACGAATCGAATTTTCCCAAAAATGGCGGCGACATGTGTGGCGACAGGAGAAAATGG